TCATTACACTTTATTAGCATATGATGTAATGTTACCTGCCCACCATAGGGTATTTAAGCCCCTGCCTTCTGCTCAATAAATTGAGGCTTGATCAGATTCCTGTCTTGCCTCCATTTCTCGCATCTCTTGCCCCTCTTCATTCCCAGTCCCTCTTTCAAGTATCCACGTTGTTTGATGGCCCGCGGGACGGGTCACAGAATGAGGTTTGTCATTAATTGACATTTCACCTTTTTTGAAACAGAAAGCCACTCTTACACTTGAGTTTTTCCCAAACTGCTGTCCTTGTAAGCTGTGTTCAACATCATGACAGTTTCTGTGGCATTTTTCCCAAGCAGAAAACAAAATTTCACAGCCACACACTGTTCTCTTAAATTGACCATCACAAAAAAAAAGGTTCAAGTAAAACTGCTTTTATGAAAAAAAAAATCACTGTGACCAGAGAGAACCTTCCCAGACAATGCCACTGATGCACTAACTCAGAGCCAGTTGCTCCGGGCTCACCCAGCAGGGGAAAATGTGTACTATAAAAGCTGCACTCTGCCCAGCACAATTCCAGTTCTTTTGTGTGTGTGTGGGGCGGGGGGTTTACCACATATATTCTTCCATGTATATCATGGAATGCAAGGAGAATGAATAAATCTGCCTTAGAAGAAATAGTCATAATATTCCTTATAAACAAGAATTGTGAGACTTCATCTCTCATAGTTGGGACATGTTTCAAGAGGGACCAGTACCTGGAGAAGAATATCATGCTTGCTGAAATAGAAAGACAGCAATAAAGAACAAGCTCTTAATGAGATAGCTTGGCACAGTGGACGCAGCAATGGGCAATGTCTGCGAGGATGGTATAGGACTGGGTAATGTTTCATTCTGTTGTACACAGGGGGCTAAGAGTCTGCATTAATTCAATGGCACATAACAAGAGCATGGTTTTGCCCTAAAAACCAAGATTCCTCACTGGAATTCCACTTTTGGAGCACGCCACAAGCGCCAAATGACATGTTGCCGTAGATACTTTAGAATCAGTCAGTCCATAGAAGTAAAGTAGCACAGTTGTTCCCAGGCCGGTCTACACCAGTAGGAAAGATTTCTCTTGCCCAAGGCCCAACTCAAAGCTGGCAGCCTTTGGGTCACAATATACACAGGGCAGAGGGCAGAAATAAGTCCGCGATGGAATTCTCACCTTTCCAGACTAAAATGACCGAAGACATGGCAAGCTACTTCCAAATCCATCCAGGGAAAATGCAATAAATCATGATAGCCCAATTCTGTTGTGTGCAGGTCACCACAAATTGGCTTTAAGTTTAAAACAAAAAGAATATAAACAAGTGACAACTGTCCAGATATGGTGTTGACAACACTGGCGCTACTTATCAGCCATCCCTCTCCTCTCCCTTACAGACACTATACCAATTTTGCGCGGAAAACTAGCAGTGAAGCACTCAGACAAGCTGGGTAGGACTCTCCCAAACTTTAGATTAACCTTGAATGATCTAATCCCATCCTTGTTTCTTAGACATGGATTTGGGGTGGTCATGTGACTGGATTCGACAGCAGGAGCCCGAAGCAAAAGCCTTTTGCGGGATCAACGGGAGAGCTTTCCTCCCTGTCGTTGGCTGTGATCATGTGAGGTGTGAGGGTTGCAGCTACAACAGCCTTCTTGCAAACCTGAACAATATTCCTGGTATCATTCAATAGGAGAATTTGCCTCTACTCCTTTAGTATGTGAGATAACGAGCCCTCTTTCACTCAAATATCTACAATTGTCAGCCAAAAACCCTGCGATATTTATACTATAGTTAGTTGGATTTTTACTGCCTTCGGCGTCATCCAGATCGGAAAACCAAGTCCCATTGACCCATGTCCCTGATGGTAAGTAGTTGTGATAGCTGGATTGTGTGTCAACATGGCTGGGCCAAGGTTCTCAGTAGTTTGGCAATAATCCACCAAGATGGGATCTTATAAATTGTAATTAACTCTATGAGCAGCCAGTAATTGTGGTGGAGTGGTGCACCCCTCCTCATCCCTACCCCCCACCCTCGACACACAAACACTCCTGCCCTGTGAGGGGTCACAGACTTCAATCAATTGGAAGACTCTCAGAGGTCGTGGCCCACTCCTTTTGAAGCTGACTTTGTGGGTAAGCTTCACATCTGCTGAATCTGCATCCTGCATCTGGTTTGTCAACCTCCTGTCATGTTTCTTGCCAATCCCAGGAGCCATCAGCAGACTGCCGACCTTGGGTTCACTGGACTCGGCATCCACCAGCCTGTATGGTCTTCCTGCTTCCTGGTGTGTCAACCCTGTAGCTACACGAGTTAGGACAAGCCTCCAATGTACCATCCCACCCATGGACCTGAACTAGACCAGACTAACCTACATCTACAACTGTGTGAGCCACTTCTTGATATAAAACTTCCTAAATACATACGCATAAAAGTGTCAATGGTTAAAAAATAAATAAAAGTCACTGGTCTTGCTTCTCCAGAACACCCAACCTAACTCAGCAGCTTTCTTGCAAGACTCCTGATTTTTATTTTAATGCATTTCATTGTAAGTCATGGAAATCCATTGTGGCCGTTCTAGACCCTGATGGTCAAGTGTCAATTCAGGTTCCTTAGAACAGGGCTCTGATTGGTGAAGCCTGGGCTATGTGCCCATTCCTGGCTGCAAGGAAGGAAAGAAATGTGAGTTCTTAAATATATGAGACAAGCAGCAAAACAATGAAAGACATCACCAGGAACATGCTCTGTGGATTCATCCCCACCCCCACACTGGGGAGAACTAGTACCTATATCGCTTGACCTTGACTTCTCAGCCCAAATGGAAGCATGAAAAGTTCCATCTTAATTTCCTGCTATATGTCATCATAGAATTATAACTTATACATTTCCATCCTGTCAAGTTCTGCAGTCTTAAGGAAAAGATAGGCATGGATTATTCACAATAATGAGAAATTTACACTAAATAATAACCTACCAATAAAAGGGGGAAATTTGCTTCTTCAGAGTTGCAAACCCACCTGAGGAAGCTCTGACCTCCCAATTCTGTGAAGTGTGTTTGTTTTTAACTGTAACCAGAAAAGTTGTACAGCACTATTCTGAGCTACAGCTTTTGAAAGGTAGACCTTCATCTATTTTGTTCCTCTGAGCACTTAATTCAGGGAGCTGGGTTCCCTGACCCTGGGGCTTGAACTGAGAGCCTTTGGATGGAGGCTTACC